TCTGTCAAAGGCTTTGATGGGAACAAATGCAGTCTCCTGGTGCTCAAGCCACTACAAAATTGCTCTTTATATTGAAAACAGATTGATGTGAGTTCTGAGTCTAGAGTAACGCAGAAGAGGAAGCAGTTCCTAGTCAAGAGGCACTAGCAAGGTGACCAGTTGCCATTATACACTCCTGATTGTATAGTACTCTCTCTTTGTCAACCCATTTTGGCCTCTTTTCCCTTTCAGCTGAGTCTGGTTCTCCCATCCAAGATTTTACCCTGAGTTCTGGGAAGAGAGGCAAGGCTTGTGGCCTAGTGGAGGGGGTGGGTGCTGCAAAATGGGCAAGGGAGTGAGCCAACATTTTTCAAACTCTGTTCTTTTTTTTTTTTTTTTTTGAGGAAGATTAGCCCTGAGCTAACATCTGCTGCCAATCCTCCTCTTTTTGCTGAGGAAGACTGGCCCTGAGCTAACGCCCATGCCCATCTTCCTCTACTTTATATGTGGGACGCCTGCCACAGTATGGCTTGCCAAGCGGTGCCATGTCTGTACCTTGGATCCGAACCGGCGAACCCCAGGCCGCCGAAGCGGAATGTGCGCACTTAACCACTCCGCCACCGGGCCAGCCCCTGAAACTCTGTTCATTAAAATATCATCCTGGCCAATACATTTGGGAAAACCTCTCCCTACACTGGAGATTCACAATGGAATGTCTCTGAGAAGTCCTGCATTGAAGAAACCTTTTTAATTTTGTCTTAGCATTTCCCAAACTCATTCCATCATAGATCTTGTTTTCATATCTATTAATATCTCTGTGAACTGTGGTTATCTGTAAGCCACTTTAGGAAATGCTGCTAAAGGCAAATAATAGGGGTAGGCTACATAGCATTGTTTTTTTTCCCCTCTCTATTGGTGCAACTTGAGGTCAAATAGAAAACTCTTTTTTTTCCTGGCCTTTGTTATTGAACACATTTCTAGAATGTCTGAGTCTGCTGAACTGCCTTAGTTTATAGAGTTAAACAGAAAAATTCTATCTTGGTTTAATGACTAAGAATCTCTCAGAACCTTGGGGTCATTGCTGTGGATACTAGTGATGAGTGGCACTCTCTAGAACTGGGGACAGAGACGGACAAGGTCGAGTATACTGAGTCCACAGTAAGCCCAGGACTGCTTCTGAAACCTAAGAGATTTCCTGACATGTGCTTATTTTCTTTCTCTTGTCTATTTCCCCTAACAGTGATTTGTCAGAAAATAAAAGCCATTCTGGAGCCTTGAAAGTCCTAAAGAAGTAGGTGTCGAGTTTACAAAGAAAAGGCACAGGGGTTCAATGTGTCTGGAGGCAGTAGACTCATGGACAGAGAGTCATGAGCTGTCTCCTGTGTCCCAAGTGGGAATGGGAGATATTTCCAATCAGTGCTTGGTGCCCTTTGGCCCACCTGAAACCTTAAATCAATCTCAGAAGGTGAGTGGACTCTAATCTTGCCTGCAGCCTGTCCCCTCTCTAGCTTACTCCTGTGAAAGAGGGTGCACTGGTCACTGGGAGGTGCCCAGAGGCTTTTGCCATGAGCCCCAGTCTACATAGGGCTATGGCACAGAGAATTTGTCCCTGCCAGCACTCAGCTTCTCTTCTACACCGTGTGGGCTCGAGCCATCTTACTGATTCCCATGTAGCATGTCCAATTAGCATTGCTTGAAGGGCAGATTTCCATGCCTTCTGTTTTACAATACCAGCTCGGGGAAACATTACCCAGTCAGATCCAATGTCCAGCCCCACAGTACAGTAAGGTAAAAGAGATGCAACCGTTTCACATAAAGCCTGTTCAAACGTATCAATTCTCCTACAAACTTTTACCTTAATTCCATTAATCCTTACATTCCTAACTGTAGCCTCCATTGGGTGGTCATCAACAGGCTTTGGTTTTATAATACTAGGTAGGGGATGTGTTCCCCAGCCAGACATAATATCCATTCCCATAAAACATCCAGGTAAAGGAGATACAACTTGTTTACATAAAGCCTGCTCAAATAGTCCATCTTTTATAATCCTATCAACGCTTACATCTTTATATTCTCTCAATTTAATTGTAGCCTGAGTCAGAGCTCCACCACTGAGGTTTTGGTACCACAGTTCGTACTGTGGAGTCCTGGAAACTTCTCTTTTCCACCCTCTGATCATTTTATCCACTCTTGTGCAAAAGGCTTTGTGTCCTCAGTGAGGGGTGGAGCCAAGGGACCCTGGCGGTCTTGTCAGTCTTCAACTTGATTAATCTGCCTAACCACTGCCACAAATGATTGCTGGTCAGGTTTCTCATTGTAATCTCTTCCTTTTGGCTTTTTAAATTTCTCCAAACTGGGATAAATTGAGTGAACTTGTTTGGAGCCCCTTAATGTTGGGGGACCAGCATGGGGTCCTTTTGTCCCACCCAACCTTTAGTAATGCTATATTAAAACCTTGGTGTTAACACCATCAATGACTATTTTATTCATCCCATTCCTTAATAACCATCTAAAGATTTCCACCCTGCTGGGACGAGTCCTATGACTCTGCTCTTTCTATTTCCTTTCTGTTTCACTCCTATCAATATTTGCTATGTTCACTTTATTTCTTAATAACTATTTAAAAATTTCCATCTTTTTGGCCTCTTCCTATTCTCTTGTTAACTAACCTAATGTTTTTATTATCATCTGTAAGACCTATGAGAGGAAGCTGAGACAGCAAATTCAACAGGGCTTCCTCCAGTATTTTTGGGTTTTGCAACAATAAGGTTATATGGGGGTGCCCATGTGAAAGGGGCCCCTTTAACCATAGCATTTACCGTGACCTGGGTAATGGGCATATTCAGTGGATGAATATCCTGGTCATCATAAGGCCTGTACCGCATGGCTTGCATATGAAGCATATTGGCTGCTTCATCTTGGGTGTTCCACTTGGCATTCATAAGGGGAGATGGACAGTCCCCCTTCTCAGGGCAAACAGGCCTTACTGTGGCTTTTATCTAGGCCACCAGGCTGGCTGTTCCCTCGGGAATGACCTCCTGTGTGTCTGGATCACATATAGCCATCTGTGTTGTTCCATAGTGAGCTGTGGGTCCTGTATCAACCCAAACATGCTCTTCCACTCTGCAGCATTCAGAACCAAAGACACAGCTCCCAAACTGGTTACTCTGACAACCCGTTTCAGTAAAGGTCCTCAGGAAGCTGATGATATTGATCTACAAAAGGAAACAATCCCTTTCCACTATATCCTCAGGTTTTAATAGTTTCTTGGTTTTGCCCTCCACTTACGTTGACCACCTTCTTGATGCCCACAGGTCTTAGAGGTATTTTCTGTTGTCCCTGCATAACTTTTCCCTTGGGGAGTGGCTTTGAGGCTAGTCGCCTAAGCTCAGACCAACCCATATCTGAGTTTGATTTCGCATCAGGGCCCCACCCAGCACTTTCTTTTACTTTCATTTTAGCTATTACAGATGATAATAACCAAGGGATTATATGTTCAGCATGCTTCTTCTTATTTCGTATTTCCTTGTATATCCAATGAGCCAACTCCTCGGGAGTTGGGTTTACTGCCATTTCTAAATTTTATTGGTAATTTTTATCTTTAGTAACTGATTGCCACACAGCTGCAGTTTCATACCATGGGTGATTAGGTAGCCATCCCGGGATCAAAGGTCCAACATCCCTGCCCATTTATCCTTTATTTTCTCAAACCACATACTTCTGTGAGCCAGCGCTATTCTAGCAAATCACATTTCTCTGACACCAACTAAGGGGTTCTGAAGTCAATTCGAACGTGTGAGTGTGGGGAGGTTTAGCCCCTACACCACCAATTCTCAGACATCAGCTGGGTGTCCTATAATTCAACTCAATTCTGACACTACCAGGAGATAGGGTCAGATTCCATGGGTTAAGGGCTCAGTTCCACAAGACTACCTCCCCCCTACTTCAGACGCCAATCACAAGTCCAGGCTCTCACCCCTGCTTCTGACTGACCAGCTATAAATCTGAGGTTCCTACCACTGTCTTCTTGGGTTTGATTAATTTGCTAGTGTGGCTTACAGAACTCAGAGAAATGCATTACTTATTAGATTACTAGTTTCTTATAAAAGGATATAACTCAGGAACAGCCAGATGGAAGAGATGCATAGGACAAAGTAGGAGGAAAGGGCATGGAGCTTCCACGCCCTCTCTGGGTGCCCTACTCTCCCCGTGTTCACCAACTGGGAAGCTCTTGGAAACCTGTCCTTTTGGGCTTTTATGGAGGGTTCATTATATAATCATGACTGATTAAATTCTTTGGCCATTGGTAATTGAACTCAATCTCCAGCCCTTCTCCCCTTCCCAGAAGTCGAGGGTGGGGCTGAAAGTCCCAATCCTCCACTCACGTGGTGATTCTCCTGGCAACCAGTCCCCCTCTTCAGCTGCGTTCCCAAAGTCACCTCATTAACACAACAAAAGACATCTTTATTGTTCCCATCTCTTAGGACATTCCAAGACTTTTAGGAGCTCTGTGCCAGAACCAGAATGAAGACCAAATACATATTTCTTATTATAAATCATAATATCACAAAGTGCATTACGATACTTTTGCATCCTTCCTTTTTCTTTGTTCTTGATTCAGAATAGTTAAGTTAGCTTTGGTAATCACTTGTTCAGAGGAATAGCCTTGCTGTTTCAGTTCCTTGGTTAGGGATGCTTTTCAGAGTGAGGAATTATTTACCCCCTTCCCATTAATTCCTTTAAGAATATGAGATGCTACCAAAATAGTCAGAACTAACTCTTTAGATGAGTTCCTGGGAGCCCATGTGTGTGTTGTCTGTTTCCTCCCTCACGTAACTTCACTTCCTTTCTTAGTCTTCTGTCAGGAGGGAAGGACCTTCCTCTGCTTCAGACACTTTGGGTTGGTCCATAAATGAGCTTTGTGGGCACAGTTGAGAGGCAGTGATGAAACTGTGGACCGAAAATAGGGCAAAGAAGAAGAAGGCAGAAAAAAGGCAAAAGAGGAGAGAGGGGAGACTTACGTGGAGAAGGCATTGTTCTGTTTCTCACATCGGATCCCCTTGCAGTTGTTCGGCTCATCAATCGCTCTAGTCTCATAATAAAAGTAAAGCTGGTTCAATCCGTTGGCGAAAGCCAGGAGTACCAGACAGTAGATAAAGAGGAATTTGAGGATATCAAGTAGCATACGCCCCAAAGAGATCTGCAGAGGCCCTAAGTGGGAGTTGGCTGTGAACAGGGATATGAGACGCAGTGAACTTAAAATGTTGGATATTGCGAAGAGTGCTTCTGCAATCAGAGTCGGGTGCCACATTTCCCATTCTTCCCTTGGACGAGAACCATTATACTGAAAGAAACAATAAGTGCACAAGATGAGAGGTACAGTGAGCATTCATAAAACTTTCCTCTCCTCCTCCCTTCTGCACCCAAATAAAGCCACCAAAGTAAGCATTAAACATTCATTTATACAATGGGCCCCGTGCATGGCACTATTTGTCTTTTATTTCCACCCCATCAAAACATGATGCTAATAATTCTCTTCCTCCCACTCTCATCCAAATATATGCCCAGCATATAAGCATAGAAAAGTGAATTTCGAAGCAATCATCTGGAGCAACCACCTGTGGTTTATCAACAGATATTTTCTGACTGTGTGTTTATCAGATTGTTGGGGAGTGTCACTGGAACAGGGCCACTGGTATGCCCAAGGCAGTGGGGACAAATTACTCTGCTTCCTACTGAGATTTCAAATTAGATTTACCTCCCAACCCCCATTTCATTCTGAGCATCACAGACAACTTGTAATTACCGAAGGACAAGGGGTAGTTTCAGCCTCCTCAGTGTGCAGCGCTCATCCTGATTGCCCTGCTGACTGCAGTTTGGGGCTGATGGAGCATCCTTAGAGGGTCATTACTCAGTTTTCTGCTGAATTTTTAGCAGTCTGTAATGTACTCCATACTATTATAAACGGCATGTCAACCTTCCAGGTAGTGAATTTGGTAATATCCACACAGTGGTGTATGCATGTATTTTACTGTGACTTTAACAGCCCTACCAATTCGAATGTCCCTTTAGCACAAATGAAGAACCAGAGGGTTGAAGGAGGGGAAAACTCAGTATTTCTGGGGCTGGGGCCCATTTTCCAGCTTATCCTGGACTTCCAGCTCCTGGAATTTGGGGGTTGCCTTGTAGAAAGACAGCTTCATTGTGGGACCTGAGCTCCAATTTGGGTTTTGTCACTTAAAACTGCCTCTATCTCTCAATTTCACCACAGAATGAGAATATTATCTACTACCCACTGCACACATTTGTGATTATGTATCCATATGTGAAAGCCTGTGTACTCCATAAGGGGAGATGTTATGGAAATACAAGAAATTGCTGATTACCTTCCCCAAGACAGAAGTAGATTTTGCCTCGAATTCAATCTAAAGCACATTGCTTTGAGCTCTCATCTAAATACCAAAATTTCTCAGGACTAACTGTAAACAACTTTTCTGAGAAAATGTTGCATTGGGAACTAAGTTATATTGTTAGCATTTCTAAAACGTGCTTCAGTTCCAACAACTGAGGAATCTGGTGTTGGTAAAATCATTTATGTGTATCCAAATTTTTTTCTTTTTGGAAGATCAGCCCTGAGCTAACATCTGCTGCCAATCCTCCTCTTTTTGCTGAGGAAGACTGGCCACGACCTAACATCTGTGCCCATCTTCCTCTACTTTATATGTGGGACGCCTACCACAGCATGGCTTGCCAAGCAGTGCCATGTCCGCACCCGGGATCCGAACTGGTGAACCCCCAGCTGCCGAGAGAGAATGTGTGCACTTAACTGCTGCGCCACCAGGCCAGTCCTCAATATTTTTTACTGTTAGAAGAGTTTGGAGAATCTTTGCCACACTTGTGCTTCTGTTTCAGATAGACGCTAGGTGGCCAATCAGTTTTATGTACTCTTGGCCAAATCTTGTAGCTCTACATTTTTCCTTCCAAAAAAAACATTTGCTGCATTGCTGTGAGGGGTGGGCATTGTTATGCCTATTTTACAAGTGGAGGAACTGAAATCCAGAGAGGCAGAGTGACTTGCTTAAGATCACACAGCAAGTTGTTGAAAGAGCCAGGACTAAACACTCAGTCTAGCAATATTTCTATTAAATGTTGCTTATATGATACTTGATATGACAGCACATGTGTTAGGTAGGCCTTTAAAGGTTTTGAGGTATATGTGAGAAATGGAGACTCTTTGCTGATAACAAAACAGATCTATATTTTAAAACTAGAAATTGTCAACTGGAACGGTTATAGCTCATAATTTAGGGTTTTTTTTTTCTCTCTACAGCCACAACTGTAACTACGGGGAAGCCTACTGCTCATGGGATGGTGGATCTGGATTTGCAGAATACTCAGAAGTGTGAAAGGTCGTTCGTGTGGCAAATCTATGCTTTGCATATACACCTTTGTAGAAAGATATTCTAGAATATGAGAGCAGAGAATAAATGTAGAGCTCAGTTAGCATAAAGCTCAGCAAACTGTCAAGGGCCAGAGAGTACATATTTTGGTTTTGTGGGCTATCTGGTCCCTGTCGCAATTACTCAACTCTTTCCTTGTAGAACTAATAGACAATATGTAAACAAATGAATGTGGCAGCAGACCAAATTTGGCCTGCAGACCATAGTTTGCTGACCCCTGATCTAACACAAGTGGATTTCAAACGGTGCCCCTTGAAGCCTGAGGATTCAGTGGCGGCATCTAGTGGCCACTGTGGGAACAAAGAGGAGGCCTAGAAGATTCATTCCTCAATCCAAACGCAGTCCTTGGAGCTCTGTAATATATCGAAGTTCTGCATAAGTTTTAACTTCAAGATGTGGTTCCATGGAAAAAATTAAAAGGTTGAAAGCCACTGATCTAGTCCAATCTTCTTATTTTTCAGAGGCAGGATCTAGTGCTTGGAGAGGTAAGAAGGATGGCCTATGGTAATGCAACATGTGAGTACCAGAGCAGAGATTAAATTTGGTTTTCTAACTCTTGAGTTAGTGATATTTGGAGGCAAGTGATTTTTCTTATATTCTTCGAGATGGAATGCAGCTTGAAAATTGGCCTCCAGGCCTTTCAAAGGGGTGTGAATTGAACTCTGTCCACTCAAAAGCAAAATATGAAGAGGGACAGCCTAATGTGGGGACTCAGTAGTAATAAGGATGGGGGGAACTGTGTCTTCAACCAAAAAACGACCCCACATCAGTTGGCATCAAGTTACAGATTTAGTCTGTATTTGTGGAAATAAGGTGGTAGTGGGATAAATCTAGGTGGTGCTGTCCTAGAAAACAGAAAGACAATTTTTCTCCATTTGTAGGGCTATCTGGGAGCACTGAGGGCCAATCTTATGTGTATGTGTGCCTCTTGAGTACTTTGTGTGTGCCTTTTGGTTCCTGTTGTTGAAGACCACGTGAGGTGGAGGATATATATTGTTGACTAATTTTAGCTCTAATAAAGCATCTTCTTTAAGGCCAGCTTATCTCATGGCACTTCTGTACTGCCTCAGTACAATAGTAATCTGAAATGTTTCAAGGGGCCTGGGGACCAGCTCTTTTGGCTTTACCTCGTAGAGGTTGTCTCAACCTACTTGGAGATGTTCATCTCAGACTGGTGTGCATCTGTGGATGAGAGGACCAGACTGCCCATTTACAATTTCTCATTGCAACCCCAAAGTCTGCATGTGGTGAGTCTTGCTTTGTAAATTCTCCTTTTTCGAGAAGGATTCCAACTTCTTGGCAAATGTCTCCTTTGAGTCAAGTGTCGGTTGAGGGGCATTTGCTCAGCTCAGTAGTGCTGATTTCTCCTTACACTGTGGTGGGGAGGTGTGTAGCTTCTTGGAAGCCTTGCCAGGAAAGTTGGACAGGCTATGTGATGAGCTAATGTTGGGCATCTATAGACACATTTTCACATCCCCAAGAGTTATTTCTTTTCTTGATCATTTATTCTAAACTTTTTTGTTTAAGCAAAACCCACCAATTTCTAGGTTGATAATTTATTGTCCCTCCAATGTATAAATACCACTTCCAAAGGAAGAAGTGTTTTTTTAGGCAAAGAGTGTTACTTAGTCAGCACAGTGCCAGAATGACATGGATTTCATCCAGGCACATTAACGAGAGATTCAAACATTTTCCTCACCAGCTTTTTCTTGTAAGGAAGTTGTAACTATGTGTTAAACGATCACCACAAGTATAAGGCATACTCTTGGGCTTCTTTTGAAAGTGTTTCATGACTGCATTCAATATTCATGCTCCATATAACTAACTCCCAAGGTCTTAAAATTTATGCAATATGCATATTAGGGATATAAAAATAAACTAGGTTGTTGGAGATTTGGGGAACAGCCATATTCTCATTCTAAAACTCCTTAATGTAGGATTTAGCGCCAAAAAGCTTGACTGACTAGACAATCTTGGAGACTGAATTGTCAGCCTTTCCTCATGCTAGAAAAGTTCAATTCAGGATAGAAGGAGCACAAACATTCCATTATCTAATAAGCACCAAACCTGAACTCAGAGCCCGTGACTACCCAATGTGAGGTATTGGACATGAAACTATTTTTCAGAATAGTTCAGGCTATATATCATGTTGGAAAAGCATCAGTGTGGTGTGTGTGTGTGTGTGTGTGTGTGTGTGTGTGTGTGTGTGTGTGTATGTGTGTATTATCCAAATTGGTAGAGAGACATAGGTTGGGTGATACTCAAAAAGCCAAATTCATAACAGCTTGAATGATCATCCTGGTGGCAGAGACAATTAAAGATCTATGTCTCCTGCAGTGAAGTTTCTAGGGTCGTGCTACCTATCATATGAAGAACACTTGAGGAAAGTGTGAATATTTAGCTTTGAGAAGAGACAACTCAGCGGGTTAGGGAGGGATGACTTCATATCGGAAGCACTATTATGGAGAAGGAACAGCCTTGTTCTGTTTGACCCCACAGGGAAGAAGGATTACTAATGGATATGTCACAGGGAGAATAATATTAGAAAAATATAAAGTAGCACTTTTTAATGAAGTGACAGGATTGAGAAACGCTTTTGGAGATAGTGAATTCAGGGAATTTTCTGTCCTTGTTCTATGCAAATGTCAGTGGGCCATCTTCTGGGCAAGGATATTGTAAAAAGAATTTAAACACTGACTGGATGGGTGGGTGGCTGAAGACCCTTTTCCTCTCAGAGTTTAAGAAGCTAAGGATTCATTTGCAAATTGCTCCATTCTCCACTTTCTTTGCTTTGGTGGACACTGCTTACAATCCATTGAAAGAATGTCTGTTTATATGGTACTTTCCTACATGGATTGGACTGTTATCAGCACTTTTCCCCTAAACTCTTTAAGCTTCCAGAGCTAAAGCTTAATGTAACCAAAATCATTACTTAAGAAAAATGGCAGACATTCCAAGTTACCTTGACATAAGCCACAATCTTCAAGGAAATAGTTGCCAGGTAGAGTGAATTCATTGCAAAATCCATCAGGTTCCACCAGTCATGGATGTATTCAGTAAATCCACCATCCCACATTTCCTTAATCTCCCCCCAAATGAAACCTGAAGAATGGAGGCAATAGGTTTATCTCCACATAGGGTCAGAATAGTCATCATAGTAGGATTCCCCCAAGTAAAGAAAGATGAAATCAGTGAATGAATTGGGATCAGTGTTGTGAAGCTCCTAGAGATAATGATTACTTACCTCTCTTTCTTTCCTACCTCATCTCCCAGTCTTGAATTTGCCAAACCTGAGAGGCTTAACCTGAAGATGCCCATATGTTACACTTTTCTGGATACTACTCACTTTAAGCATTGTTACCATAGTTACTGAAATGCTGTTGCAAATTTGGGTGCCTGATTCTACCCTCTTTCAATTTTAGAGTAGGAGTAATTTCATCAATAAATTAATTAGATTAATATTATCCCATAGCCCTTAGTTTCCACTACGTGCTAGGGGGAAAACTTCTCAATGAGTTTTGAGGTGAGCAAGCTGACCATGGACCAAATTACTGGTTGTTGGGGCTGAAGTTAGGCAGTGGGGCCCAAAATAATTTAGAATTCTCTTTTCTCCTTTCTCCTCTCATTGTGTGGAGGTTTCATGGAATTCTGTCTGATAACACAGATGTTTTTTAGCCTTGGAATGTGAAAAGCAGTAGAAGGTGTGGTTGTGGTCAAAGCCAGTGTTTCTCAGGCTTGAAAGTACATATTAATCACCCAGGTATCATGTTAAAATGCAGATTCTGATTCCATAGATCCAGGGCAGGACTTGAGATTCTGTATGTCTAACAAGCTCCCAGGTGATGCTGACATTGCTGGTTTGGGGACCACAGTTTGAGTAGTAAGGACTCAGAGGGTGGCAATGCATTGGAGGGTTCAAGGCAATCTAATTATGCCTGGAGACTACTGGTAAGGCTGCTTTTGCCATGAATTGTGTGAATTTCCCAGGTTACCCTCCTGATTGTGAAATCAATATCCAAATAGGATTTGACTTGACTCATCAGCATTTGTCCTGCCTAGCTTACCTGAGGCCCATTCTGACTGACATTTGGCTTTCCTTCTAAACCAACTGACAGACAACTTCCTTCTCTTTGATGATAAGTTAGCAGAAACAAGCCCTGTGTACACTGCCAATCTCACTATGAACCATGCAATACTGAGTGATCGGGGCCTGGGGAAGAAGGAACCACATTTCCAAGACACCCAACAAAAGGCTACTCCACTGCACAGAGAGAAGTTGCCCTAGTTCAGGGTCAGTCCAATTGCCTATTCCAGTAGTTTCTTTAGCAAGGACCAGGAGGCAGGCTGGCAATAGCTCCCAGTCCCTTTGACTCACCGAGAACCCAAGGCAATATCATCCATTCCACGACAGTTGGAGGAGGTCCCTGGACATGGAGGTCTGTCCTGACGATGTGCTGAGAAGCCAGGAGAAGCATGAAGAGGAAGGTCAGATATGACGCTGTGTGGCAGATAAACTTGATAAAGGGTTTCTTGATGAACAGCCCAAGGTTGCTCCTGGGTGAGATCAGATAAGCTATAGACAGCATGGGAAACAGGAACCCAATGGTCATGCAGGTCAGAAGCTTGACTACCCAGTGTTTCCGCCGCCATCCAGGGAAGCCGTCATACCACAGAGTGGCAAGCAACTGTTGGCAATTGGGCTGAGCGACAAACTGGGAAAAGAAGAGAACAAGTTAGGCATCTAGGATGTCCAGGAGGAACTTATATTTATAATGCCTCTCCTAGTTTACAGCCAGCTGCATGGCCAATCCCCAGAAGAGGTCTGACTTTTAGGTTCCCATGAATGGGTCCAGCCCCAGAGAGAGCTCTACATGTCAAGCTATGAGACTAGATTTTCCTTAGGGTTGTTTATTTGTTTCATATGTTAAACAAAATCATTCTGTTCAGTTTGTGCTCTGGCATGCCTCTCTATTCCCTGTTCCATCATGTTAGAGAAATGGTTCCCAAAACTTGGCTCTGCATCGGAATCATCCAGGGAACATTAAAAAATCCAGCTTCTCAGGATGCACCACAGGCTGACTAAATGAGCCTCTCCGTGGGACAGAGCCTGGGCAGCTGTTTTACAAAGTTCTCCTGGGAATTGACACACCTCTTAGCAGAGAATCATGGGGATCTTTCATTTCAAATAGATTCACTTTTACTCATTGCCCCAGCCTACATGAGGTCATCAACAAACGTTCACTTTGGACAAACACAAACTGGCAGGGAATAAACTCATGCCTGTGGCTATGGTTTGGAATGGAAATGAGTTCCCTATTTAATTTTGTCTTTTTGCCCCTTTGGTTCTGAGCACCTCTTGGTTGGCTAGCAATGAATCAGGTTGCTACTTTGCCATCTATTTAACACCCTCTCTAGTCTAAACATGCAAAGGAGGAAAGAATATTTGGGGACCAATATTACAACACTGTATACTAACTCAGCTGGGATTTTACTTAAAGGCAATCTACAAAGTGTCAGTGATTAATAGTTAAAAAATCATCAGCATTGCAAGTCACCCTCCAGCTGCTACTTCCTGGCAAGCAACTCAACAGGGAGTTCAACTGTCAGCCATGATTTTATATACTGCCTGTATTTGACTACTCCATCTCCCCATGGGAAAGGTTAAATAGAGCTGCACCATACAGCTTACTAATAAGAAAGAAATACATTTCTTCCATCATTTACCAAACACCCAAAGTAAACTAGCCCTGGTACAAAGGTAATAAAATTCTTCCATCATTTACCCAACACCCAAGGTAAACTAGCCCAACTTTATTGTTAATATATCTGTGAAGGTCACTTCACAGTCTCACAGGTGTTTTTGGATTAGATACTACATGGTGGCTTACTTATTTCTTTAGAGGAAGATTATCTTCATCTGAAGAATGGAGATAATAACACATCTACCATATAGGATTGGTGTGAAAATTAAATCAGTTACTACACATGAAGCACTTAGAACTATGCCTAGCACATAGTAAGGCCTCATTAAATTTTAGCGGTGTATATCATTATGCATGTGACGGGATCAGATTTAGACATTAGAAAGATCCTCGTGGTTATCGAGTGGAAAATGGATCAGGGGCAGAGGGTGGGCAAAACTACAGGGCAGGAAGACCAGTTAGAAAGCCGTTGTCAATCTTGTACAAAATGATTATGACTTGGACTAAAGAAATGGCAGTGGAAATAGAGAGACGTGCTCAGATTCAAAATATAGTAAGGAGGTGGAATTGGCAGGATGCAGTGATGGAGTGAAGTAATAGACGAGGTGTGAGGGTAAAGGGGAGAGAGGTTCTCGTTTGGGTGAATTGGTGGGTAGTAGCGCCATTAACTGAGAGTGGGAACACTGAAGCTGGAACAGGTTTGTGAAGATGCATACGTTTTTAGACCTGCTGAGTTAGATTTGTCTGTGGGACATCTAAATGGAGACATACAGATTGATGTACTGATGTTATACAGCAGGAGTCGGCAAACTTTTTCAGTAAAGGGCTAGATAGTAAATATTTGAGTCTTTGTGGGCCATCCTGTGCCTGTCGCAACTACTCCACTCAGCTGTTTCAGCACAAACTCAGCCACAGACAATGTGTAAATATGTTAATGAACGGGCATGGCTTTGTGCCAATAAATCTTTATTCACAAAAACAAGCAGCAAGTTGTGATTTGCTAATCCTTGTTCTATGGTATTGCTCCCTGCTGCTACCAGAACCAGAGATTTGGACCACTTTCAGCAATGGGCTTTTTGACCTCCTGGGACTTTCCCTTGTGTATCCCCAAGAACTCTGACTCCCGAAATCACTTTCCCCTAAGCAGAAATGCATGCAGAGGTGAAGCTTCACTTAATAGTGCATATTACCATCCAACCATCCTCTTCAATGCCTTTGCTCTGATTTTCGATTTGGCTGAAGATGGTAATTTTAAAGTTGGACCGGTTTTTATTTTCTCTTTGTATATGTGACAAGAGTAGTGTATGGTGGTGTGGATTCTGGCAGAACAAACTGCAATTAGAATATTATAAAAGGAATTTTTAATCCACCGTGTAGTATCTAATCCAAAAACATCTGTGAGCTTTGACAGCACAATCTTGATTCCCGCCTGCATATTGAAGTTCAAATTTGACAGGTTATTTAATCAATCTCTAGTTGATTTCAAGAATTCCTCAGAAAGAGGGATTGTAGAAAAAAGAACACAGTGTGTATTTGCTGTACACTTGATTGCATTGAAATCCAAACTATACAGAACCTAGAGCAGTAGTTTTTAATTTTGATGAAGTCCAATTTATGTTTTCTTTTGTTGCTTGTGCTGTTGCTGCCGTATCTAAGAAACCATCACCTGATCCAAGGTCGCAAAGATTTACACCTATGTTTTCTCATTCATGTTTGATAGCTTTAGCTCTTATATTTAGGTCCTGATCCACTCTGAATTAATTTTTGCATATAGGAAGAGGTTCAACTTCAAGCATTTGCGAGTGGATATTCACTTGTCTCAGCACCACTTTTTGAAAAGACTACTATTTCTCCATTAAATTGTTTTGGCACGCTTATTGAAAATCAACTACCCATAAATGTAAGGGTTTATTTTTGGACTCTTAAATCTATTCCATTTATCAGTAAGTCTATCTTTATGCCAGTACCACACTGTCTTGTTTACAGTAGTTTTGTAGTAAGTTTTGAAATTGGGAAGCATGAGTGTTCCAAATTTGATCTTCTTTTTCAAAACTGATTTGGCTATTCTGCCTCCATTGCATTTGCCTATGAATTTTATGATCATCTTGTCAATTTACGCAAAAAAAGAAGCCTAGGGTTTAGATAGGGATTGTGTTCCTGTAGAACAGTTTGGGAGTATTTCCTTCTTAACCATGTTAAGTTTTCCAGTTCAGGAGTGTGGGATGTCTTTCCATTTGTTCGGATCTTCTTCAATTTTTTTCAATAATGTTTTATAATTTTTAGTGTACAAGTCTTATACTTCTTTTGCTAAATTTATTCCTTAGTATTTTATTCTTTTTGATGCTATTGGAAATGGAATTATTTGCTTAACTTTATTTTTTCATTGTTCATTGTTAGCATATAGAAACACAATTGATTTTGTATGTTGATCTTATATCCTGCAATGTTGCTGAAATTGTTTATTATCCCTAACAGTGTCTTGTTGTTGTTGATTCTCTAGGATTTTCTATATACAAGATCATATTGTCAGTGAATAGAGACAGTTTTACTTCTTCCTTTCCAATGTGGATGCTTTTCATGTCTTTTTCTTGCCTAATTGACCTGGCTAGAATCTCTAGGACAATGATAAATAGAGGTGGTGAGAGTGGACGTCCTTTTCTTGTTCTTCATTTTAGGGGAAAGGCTTTCAGTCATTTTCCATTAAGTGTGATATTAGCTATGAGATTTTCACAGATGGCCTTATCATGTTGAGGAAGTTCTAGCCCCAGTTTTCTGAGTGTTTTTTATCATGAAAGAGTGTTGGATTTTGTCAAATACTTTTTCTGTGTCAATTGAAATGGTCATGTTTTATTTTCCTTTCTTCTATTAGTGTCATGTATTACATTGATTGATTTTATTATGTTGAACCACTATTACATTCCTGGGATAAATTCCACTTGGTCCCGGTGTATAATCCTTTTTATCTATTGCTGGATTCAGATTGCTTTCTGTTAAGCCTATTGTTTGCCTCAACTGTTATCCACTGCCTCAGGCAGCCTTGATGTTAAACAATTACTGCTGATTTTTTTCAACAAATACCCCTAGGGAAAGGGCTGTTGGTCCGGAGTCAGAACACCTAAAGACAACCTGGATCTTTTCTATGGAGTTGTCAGGCAGGTCAAATAATGACAATTCTCTGGGGATGAGTCTTTTGGGGGAGCTTCAAACCCAGTCTTCCTCAAATCCAGTGGCTGTCAAGTTGCTGCTTTTCAGTAACTGTGGTTCCAAGGCTGGTAGATTTCAAAACCGCTGTGGAGCTAGGTAAAGGTAGATAGGAATTGGGCAAGTTAAAATACCACAAGCTTGTTGTTCTTACCCAAATTCAGCTGTTTTTCTGAATAATGCTCCTCTGATTGTTGCAAGACTTTGGTTAATTTCCAGAATTGTGAAAAAGTAGATTTTGAAAATTTTTCCAATGTCTTGTTTTTCTAAGGAGTGAGTTTTCAGAAGTCCTTACTCTATCGTTCTGGGAGTACTTTCCCTTATGACTTTTTAACTTTTCATGGGAAGTGATATTGTATTTGTGTGTAGGTTAGCACAAATGATAGAGTCATTTCCCTCCTTCCTGGATTCGATCCCCCGAGAGCCTCAATAAAACAAAGTTTGAGCAGAATAGGAGCTTCTTAAAAGCCAGAAGCCTCGGTGTTGCTCATAGACAGGGAGCATGTCTTAGTCTCCATTATATTCCCAATATTTTGCAAAATGCCCAGCACAAGGTAAACACTGAATAAATATTTGTTGAATGAGTGATTAAATAAATAGATCTGTGCTGGGTGAACCTTGGTGGAATACTCTCTCTCCAAAGCCTTCTTTCTTTGGTGTATGTAGAGGGTGAAGCCTGGTAGCTAAGATAAGTCTCCTGTGACTTACAATAGGAACTACTCTTCACAGAGTCAGATTAACTACCATATGTCAAGCTCTTATAATGTGCCAGACGCTGTACCATATTTTCACATGCATCATCTCACAGC